AGGGTTCCCCCCGCCGCCCCGGCGGCGGCTGCCGGCGAAATCGCTGAAGAGGGCGAGCAGCAGCATCGCCACCCAGCACCAGGCGTCGCGGGGCCTCATCCTGCCCGACCTGCGAAAGGGGCACAAGGAGGGACGGTGAGCGCGGGGACGCCGGCTCCACGTGGTTTGCCTTAGGCTCGGTCCAACCTGCGTTGAATATAGTTAATAACTGAATGCGTTTGATGTGCTGTTGGGATTGCACCTTCACTTTTCCACCCCGCTGCAGAGCACCGGAGCATCACTATGTGATTCCCCCCCTCCCCGTCCCCCACCCTGCAACCCCTCTGGCCGGCGGCTGAGCAAACAGCCTCATTGTACCGAAGCTGCTGAGCCATCGCAGCCCCAAAATCGTCCCAAAAATAGCAGGAGCCGTGTTGACAAAAGCCTTTTGAAAAAGCAGAGCCCCCCTGGCTGGCCGCCCCGGCCGCAGCATCCCTGCGTCAGCGTTTCCCTCCCGCGGCCCCCGCTAGAAAGTGCCAGGCCTGACCCGCCCCCCGCTTCGAAACCCAGTGTTTTGGAAAAAAAAAAAAGAAAAGAAAAGAAAAAAAAAAGGGCTTGATTAATTTAATTTGCCTCATTTCGCTACCCTGCTCCTCCAACTAACATGGTTTATTTGAAGAAAAGCCCAGAGAAGCGCGTGTCCCCCTTCCAGCTGTTTGCAGCTGCATCGCCACCACTGGAAACTCCACAAACCCGGGCAGCAAACCCCACAAAAAGTAAAGACGTGGATTTTTTTCCCCTCCTCCCTATTTTTTCCCCTCTTGATTTCCCCTACAGTATCCAGGCTTTTGGATCACAATCCGGGGAAAAGCCCGGTGCCAAAGCGGCCGTTCAGGTTGCGGTGCCTCCCCGGGCTGCTCTCCCCAGCCCAACCTCCAGCTCAGGTGTGTGCCAAAACCCTACACTTTCCACCTTGCTCTCTCCCCAATTCCTTCTCTTTTTATCCCTCGACGCCGTGCCGAGGATGCCGCCCTTACCCGTGCACCCGGTGCCGCGCCGGCGATGGCTCTTCCCGTCTGTGCCCGCCGGGCTGGACTCACATCGGACTTTTCCCGGCGGATAAAGCTTCGATAAGCGGAGCCAACGTCACTCGTATCCCCCTCCTGCGCGGGGAGGGATAAATGGGCTTCAATGGGCCGGATAATGCAGCGTTGGTGGCTTCGGGGAGAAAGCAAAGCGTGGCTGGGGATAACCTTGGGGATGCAGAGAGCTCGGTCTCGAGGAGGTGACAAAACCTGAATATATCAGGTTTAAAAATGCGATGGGTTTAAAACAAGGCTAAGCAATGCAGAGGTTTTCTTCTAGAGGTGAGTTTTACCTTCTGGAAGGGAAATATCCAGAGGATGGAGCCCACCAAGCATGGCGCATGGGGATAAATAGTCTCTAAGGGCTGGATAAACCCTAAAACAGCCCCCCAAAATCCTCCAGAAATTTAGTTGTGAGTCTCCAAAACTGCAGGGCAGGAGCATTTCTCCTCGGGAAACTTCTCTGCCAGGATTCAGGCAGGTTTTTCTCTTCTCTCTCGTCACTCCCAGCCTACGTGGAGCCCACTTCCGTAGCATTTCTATCTGCAAAGTGCTTTATTTTGAACAAACCAGGCTCTAACTCGGGGGTTTTCATTCTGTATTAAGTTGCTACATATTTTGTTTTCTTGTTAATCAACAAAGCAATGCGACAGTCATCCTTCAAATACATAAAAAGCTTTTCTCGCTGTACAATACTTTCCCTAACACATGTTAAAGGTGGAAAAGGTACCATTAAAATTAAAAAAAATTACAAAGACATATTGCAAAAACGCAAGGGAGGGAGAAAGTCAGAGTTTTAGTTCATGTCGAGGTATAAAATTGATATTGCTGGTTTAGCCTGGGAGGAAAGAGGTTTTTCCACGTGTGATGATGGTAACGGAGCCAGTCCAGGTCCCGGTTTCACCGGGATGATGTGCCAGCACCGCTGCAAAACCAATATGCAAAATAAAACCCTCTTTATTTCTGCCTCCCCCTCCTCTTGCCCCCCTGCCCCACTCCTTTCCGTACAGCATCCCTTGAGAGATGCTCAGCACCGTCAACTATTCCTGTGAGCACTATTTGGCATGTTACAGCTACCAGAGAGGTTTGACATCGTGGTTTGTTTTTTTGTTTTAAAAATCCCTAAAATTAGTGCAAATTAGAAATGGGGTAAGGAGGGAGTTATGAGACCAAATGCAGGTTAAGGGAACACGCCGGAAAAATGCGATTTACTCTTTTGCTGTAAATCCAACCATCAGTCCCCAGGCTTGCTTTTGGCAGCAAAAGTGTTAAAAAAACCCCAATTCTCAGCCGACCCTTCCGATTTACAAAAGGTTCCAGTCACCTGTGAATTATTGCAATAGAAATGTGCTTTTTTGTTGTTTTTTTTAAAAAGAGGAATTATTTGTGCTCTCTTGCCACCAAGCAGCGGGTCCTCCGCCGGGAGCCACGAGCGGGCACTGCTGAAGTGAGCATCTTCAAACTGAGCCCAAAATTCTTCCTCTCCAACGCTTGCAGCCCTCACCCTGCTCACAGATTTCCTTTTTTTTTTTTTTAACCTGTTATTTCCAGGGGTTTGAGGTTTTGGCTGAAGCTGCCACTGGCCAGAGCCTTGCTGGGAAAAACCCCATTTGCCAAAGAGGAATCCCCCGAGGATGCTGCGCAGATGAAGGTGCGGGAGTATGGGTTGGCTCAGAGCCGCAGCGATCCGGGTGGATACCGGGAGTGCTCCGGGAAAGACGGAGGTTTGGAATTTGGTACAGTACGTCCTGTGGGCAAAAGGCTCTTCGTGTGATGCAACTCGGAGCCCGGGCGCTGGCAAAGCGTTTCACATCGCCGTCGGACCTTCAGAAATCTCCTCCAGCCTTTGCTCAATCATCAGCCGGAGGATGGAGTATCTGGAGAGGTGGAGGACAAGGAAAAGAGGATTTTTGCAGCATCGAGCTGGGCTTTTAACCCAAATTACCGCAAAAACCCTGGAATAATGGAAAACCCAATGGCTTATGCATACTTTAGGGATGCAAGGCTGTGCAAATGAATTTTTTTGGCACCAAAATAACCCCCTGACAATGTCCTTAACTCTCAGCATCTCCCCTCGATGCCACCGAGCCTGGCGTACTTGCGCATTAGCTTCTTCACTTCGCGATCCTCCTCTTCCTCCAGCTTCTGGATGAAGCTCCTGAGGACGGGCATCTCGAATTTGATGTACTGAGCAACCTGGGTGGGAAAGAAATGCCAAGCCGGGTGATGAAGAAGGTGATGCACCGACCCCACGAGGCTGAAGGTGACCTCTCAGCATCCTCTCCCCAGATTTAACCAGGGAAATCAAGGACCGCTCCACCTCCCCCCAATTTTTGCAACAAACCCTAAAAGAAAACACGTTTCCTCTGCACGCCAGGAACTTCAGCTTGTGCTAATTATTGGAAAAAAAAAAAAATCCACCTAAGGTTTATTTTATTTTACCCACTGGCTGCAAGACTTGGCTCCTTCATATGGAGAAACCTGTGCATCTCCAACGTATCACTGAGTGCTGTTTAAGCCCAACCGTACCCCAAAAGCACCTCATTTGTGCTCTAAGAGCAAAGCAGTGCTGGGGCGGGAGGGAACCTGCAGATGGCATAAACGAGCCATTTCTCCCCGCAGCCCTTTCTCCGGCTGGGAAAAAAATACCAATTCCACCAACAGCTGCGCAGCAATTGCTCTTCTGCGATCAGATTTGGGATGGCAAAATAGGGCTGGGGCCTTTTGCTCTCACTTGCAGTTTGAAGCTGCTCTTTAAACACAGAACAAGGTTTTTCCCATGAAACGGGGAGTTTTCACGGGGAGAAAAGCAAAGCAATTCCTGCATCCCCAGCATGAAGACATCCCCCGCCAGGTTTTCCGCCCCCGGCTGCACCCTGAGCCCATCCAAAAGCGACGAACATCCCGTGCCGGCAAACTCACGTCATAGGTGACTTCTTCCACCTGGTCCTTCTCCATGAGGAAGACCTTGGAGACCTGCTCGCAGGGGCCTTGCAGGATGCGGGCGATCAGGGGGTAATCGCTGGCTCGCAGCTTCTGCTTCTCTGCAACGCCAAAAGCACCGGCGTTGGGCCCGGCAGATAACGGGGCTTTGCCGCGGCCGACCCGCCGGCTGTGCCAGGGAGGGTTTGGTTTTTTTTGCAGACTCACCTCCGCTGGTGTGGACGATGTACAGCGCAAACTCCTCCGCCGAGTTTTCAATCTGAACGGAGACACAAATCACTATTAAAGGTCCACGTTTCTACCCTTGGCTTTCCCAGCAATTAAAAAAAAAAAAAAAAAATCCCATTATTTCGCTCCACCGTTCCATTTTGTATCCACGGGATATAAATTCCTCGTGCAGAGCAACCCAGGAGCTTGTGGGGGGGGGATATCTAACATACCTTGAATTTATTGAGCAGCAGTTTGAGGACCTGGGGGGTCGTCATCGTGCTGTTTATCCGGACGTTGGTGACGGAGCCGTACGCCGGCGTGAACACGGACGTCTACGGGGCGCAAAGTCCATTTAAACCTCCCCCCGGCCTGGATTTCCCCACCGATCTGTCGGGAGAGGTTCTGGGGAGCCGGCGAGGTTCAGGGCTCACCTTGTGGTTGTAGAAGTGCCCGTTGATGGAGAAGCGGTGACGGCGGATGCGCCGCTGCTCGCTGGGGGTGCGGGCGCTGCCCCGGCGTCGCACGCCCACGTCGCTCCGTGTCCGCATCAGCTGCGGTGTCTCCTCCGGCTGCGATTTGGTGGCTGGAAATAAAAAACCCAAACAGTGGGAGGACAGGGCTGAGGACCGAGGGCAAGCGAGAATCCCCCCGGGTCCTACCCCAGCATCTCCTTGCTGCAAATTGGCTGCTGGGAGTCATCCTCCCCCCCAGGTGCAGAAGTCCCCATCCCAGAAATACAGCTCTACAAACTTCCCAGGACAGATTTAACCCACCATTTTAAACCACGGCAGCTACTGGTTTATTCTCTCCCAGCTCCTGAAGGAGGCTATTAATTCAGAATTAACTGCATAAATCCAGGCTGCTACCTTGATAAAGCCTCTTCTCCCGGGGACTCGAGCATCTTTACTCGCTTTTTTATAATTTAACTTTTTTTTTTTTTTTTTTGTCCTCCTTTCCTTTAATGAGAACAGGCAAACGAGGCCAGCGCTTCAGATCTCTGCGTGAAAACTGGCCTGGGTCCAGATTATTATAAACTAGCTCTTCATCCATTTTTAATGAACCTCTCGGGCTTGAGCTTGGATGTTTTAATTCAAAGCATGTCTGCAGCAAGAAAAATCTCTGGTGCGCGCCGTTCCAGATGCATGCCACGGGCCGCAGTGACTAAGCACTCACGAGGAGCCGTGCACGCATGTTATGGACTGATTTTTATAGGCTTTTGGAGAAAAATATAATAAAAGACTCTTTCTTATGTGCTGGCAGAGGATTAATGTCATATGGCTGGCTGAAATCGCTGCTGGGTTTTTTCCTACGGTGCAATGCGTTGTGGATATCGCCCGGGCAAGCGGGGGAATAAAGCATCATGCGCAGGGAGATCAAAAAGCAAAACGGGAAAAGCTGAAGGATCAAGGATGGGGCAAAGGGTTTCATGGATCAATGAGCTTTACAAGTGCTGAGCTCTTCCCTGAGCTGGGAAATGGATGAGCACCCCAAAGCCAAAAGGATTAGCTGGTTCTTCTCTGCCTTTGGGTTGTGTTTCCATAAAAATACTCCCAACAACAAAAAAAAAAAAAAAAAAAAGCAAGCCAGGAATATCTGAAAAATGCCCCAATCAAATGAGAAAACCACTTAAAGCAGGTTTTTCCAGTGGGAATTCCTGGTGGGACAGTTTGTGTCCCATTCATTGCTGCCTCATGCTCAAAACAAGGGGTTAACGAAGCACAGGGCAGACAAGCTCTTCCCCCTCTATACAGAAGAAAAACCAGGGAGGCGGAAAAAAAAAACTTTGCACAAATGTTGACTTCCCCATGGTAACGGCACTTCCCAACGGTGCCTATTCTTCTTCCCTAAAAGCAGAGCTGCCGGGAAAGGGAAGCACCGACATCCTTTTCCCTGTGATCCCACGAGGCTCTTTGCTCCATCCCCCGTATTTCTTTCCAAGTTCCTCTTACCACATCCCAGTGTGGCCCTTTTCCCAAGCAAAAACCTTTTAGGAAGGGTTTTGGGCCGTCTGGGCTAAGATTTTCATGCTGCAATTAAATAAATTAACTAGAGGCGCTTTGGAAATGGCTTAAAGGAACCTGGAGCAAGATGGAGACACCAACTTCTAGAGAAAAAAATGATGCCTGGTTTATATTTTTCTCAAAGCAAACTGGAGCATAAGGCAGCTGCTCCCAACCGCCCAGCCAAATCCAACCAGATCCAAGCCTGGCTCACCTGCGCAGCTCCCAGGAGCCTCTGCGTTTGGCATGGCCTCCGCATCCGTAACCTGGATGTCCGGCAAGGTGCTGGGCTTCAGCACGGACCTGGCAATAAAAAAATAAAATAAAATAAAATAAAATAAAATAAAATAAAATAAAATAAAATAAAATAAAATAAAAAAAAAAAAGATGGGTGCCCTGTTAGCCAGCAGCTGCAGAGGGAACAAGCACCAGGATAATTTCCCCTCTGAGACCCCATGCTGCTATTTCCAGGATGGGATGCAGCCCATTCTCCCTGCGGATTTGGCAGATAACCAGCCCTGCAGGGTCACAGCACAGGCTAGTTGCAATATAAATCTTGAATCCCATCTTGTCCCACTCCCAAAAAACCCCTTTGAAGGGTCTTATCCCAGCTGCCCTCTTCCCAGGAAGGGATGCTGAAGCCTGCAACCGCCTTTTTGCAAGCTCCAGCACACCAACGCACAAGCAAAGCTGAACCTGCCCCCTTTTTTCCCCCCCTTTGCAGACAGCTAAAAAACCCATGCAAAACCAGGCAGACCCCCCCACGGCCAGGATAACCCACTCCCGGGCACTTGAGGATCCAGGGGGCTGGGAACCGGTTGTCCCAGGGGAATTACTTGAGCCCAGAGCAACATCCAGCATTAAACTTGGATTAAAGTTAAAGCCCAGGCTTGTTTTAGAAGGAACTTCTTGCAGGCAAAGGGCTGTTTGCAAAAGGGGGAGACTTTGAAAAAGGTGGGGGGGTGTCTTTGCAAAACGGGGAGTTTTGCAAAAAGGGGGTTGCAAAAGGGGGGGGTCTTTGTAAAAAAAAGGGGGGTCTGCAAAAGAGGGGCAGTTTTACAAAAGGGGGGGTTGCAAAAGGGGTCTTTGCAAAAGGGGAAGGGGTTGCAAAAAGGGGTCAAGTTTTGCAAAAGGGGGGGTCTTTGCAAAAAAGGGGGGCCTTTGCAAAGCAAAACCAAGCTACTTTATTTCAGACTCGGCTTCCTCAGGGTGTTGCATGTTGGAAAAAAAAGGACCCAGAGAAGGGAGCTGGGGTTGCAACCCAGCAAACCGTAGCTGGGGTGGGGGGCGCAGGACTTGTGGGGTGTCTTCTTGTTCCTTCGCTCACCCATGGGCTCCCAGGTTGCAGCCAGAGTGCCAGGAGGAGGAGGAGGGTGGCGGACGGATGCGCTGGTTGTCGTCCTGCATCTGCAGGCGGATGGGTCGCCGCAAGCCCCAGGAGATGTTCAGCAGCCCCTCCACGATGAGCTCGCCTTCCTCCTGCGTGAGAGATGGGCACCTCGATATCCGAAATACAAACTGCAGGATAATACTAAGAGGTGGGTTTTGTTTGGACCTCCCAAGTCTGAATCAAACCCAATTTCCTTGGTTTTTTTCTCTGCTGCCAGAGATAAGTTGGGTGCCTGCCCTGGGGGTTTCTTACCTCCCGGTGCCGCAGCTGCAAATTTTGCCCTTCGTAGTAGATGTTGTACGTCTTCAAGTGTAAGAGCAGCTCATTTCTGGAAAAAAATGGGAAAGATGCAGAGCAGAGATGCAGAGGAGCGAGGGGGGACATTGCAGGACATACCTGGCGTGGTACCCCCTCAGCCGGCCAGGGGGAAATTTGGGGGATCTGGGAGAAAGCAGGAATTGCTTCCCAGGGTCAGGCTGGGTGATGAACCTGCTACACTGCTGGCAGACCCAAACCAGCTTCATTTGGGGCAAATTTGGGTCTTTTGCTGCCTCTAGACCTCCCTTGTTGAGGATATCTGCTGCAGGTTCAACCAGGGACAATCAGCAACCACAACCAGGGGGACAAGCTCCCTGCAACCATGCCCACCATAAACCTTGCAAAAAGATGTAAGAAAACCCAGCAGGCATTGGTGGAGTTGGTCACAAGGCTGAAAAACAAGGAAATTTTCGGAGCGCCCAAGCCTTTGGGTCACGGTGGAGTCACAAGTTATCATAGGCGAGTTTATCAAGTCGGCTCATCACTCCAGACCCTGACTTTGAGCTCAAATAAAAAGTCTGAGCCCTGCCCCAGTTGCAAAAAAAAGATAAAAAAATAAAAAAAAAATAATAAAAATAAACCAACACAGGCTGTCTGAGCACAGCTATGAATCACAGGGAAGCGATGCCTCTGGCATTAATTCATAAAGGTGCCATTAATTCAGCTGGGCTGGCTGATGGAGTTTAAGGATGCTCGGCACCATCAGACTAGTATAAAGAAGCACAAATCATGGGGACTCGGGGTTATGAGAGAGAAAAAGGGGAGGGAAATATCACATATATGCTTTATCTCCTCCAAAATCTTCCTTGAATCTTAAGAATCATTTTACTTCTTTACCAAAGCATGAAAGACCAACCACTGATAGGGACCTTTTTCAGCAAAACCTGTATTTCATGAAAGTTTATAGAGCATTTGGCCACACTCCTAAGAAAAAAATTTCAAAATCCCATCAACATCCCCCTTTTTTTTTAAAGGAAATTGCCATTTCTTGCCCCAGAATGGCTTTTTCTTTCCAAATCCAACCATATCTGAGTTAAAACCCAGGGTCGCTTCCCTCCCAGCTCGATGGCAAAAACCCCCAGGAATATTGCAAGTAACTCCCCAACTACCAGCACCGACCATATTTCTGCATTACAGCCCTGCCAAGCATCTTACTTGGAGATGTATTTGTCTTTTCCGCAGGGGACCAGGTACTCGCAGCCGCCGTAATCCATCCTCCCACTCTTCTTTCATGAGAGCTGAATTGCAAAGAGGGAGGAGAGAAAAGCATCGGCGTGAACCGCCCTGTTATCACATCCCTGATAATCACCCCTGCATAATGGGGAAAAAATAAACTTGCTTGGATTTGGAAGAGATCTTGGGAAAAGGCTCCAGTGGATGCAGCTGCAGGCAAAGTTTGAAGTGACTCCTCCCGGAAAACCAATGGGGAGGGAGGAGAAATCAGATAAGGGGAGAAGTGTTGTAAACTCACTGAAAATTTAATACCGGCAGAGATACGCTTACGCTAACATTTGCATTTCAAGCATCCATGGACCGCCCTAGAGATGGCAGACCTGGAGGTGGCAGGGTTATAAACAGGATTTGCTCCTTTTCTCCGTTTATTTTGCTAGGGGTTGGTTACAAAGCTCCGGGCACGGGGGTTCTGGATCCAGCTTGGTGCTTCCCCGTGCCGTCCCGAAACCAGGCAGTGGGCACAAGGGCTGACTTTTGCAAGCAGCGAGAGAGGCTGGGCTGGTTCCTTTATCTTTTTTTTAACAATGCCGGTTGAATTTTTGTGCATTCCCTCCAGTGCCAAAACATTTCCATCGCTCTCATGCAAACACTTGGATACTCCCCCAAAAATCCCACCTTGGGAATGGCCCCAGCTTAGGGCATAAGCGTGATTTTTGCATGCTATGAAGCAGAATTCAAGTGAGATTTAGGGTGAAGTCCTCAGGGTCGCTTGTGGGCTTGGAGCACTTTGGAAATCAGACCTCGAAACACAATGTCGGGGTGGTTTTAGGCGACAAGAAAGGACTTCTCAGGTCACACTTTTCCTCAGGTGTTTGTGCAAATCCTTCTACAGACGGGCTTTCATTTTTCCAGGGTCTCTCCCCTCCCTTCCCTTGTCCAGAAAGAGAAAGCAAGGCAAGAAAAGAGCATTTAATCTGCAAACCCCTGTTTTCTTCCACCTCCTGCATCGCCATGTGCTTCCTCCCAATCCCCTGGGAAACAAACCCATTTTCCTGCCAAAAAAACCCCAAACAACATCCAGGCTGATAAATGACTCAACCAAGGACATGTGGTAAAACCTGTGTCGGAGGAAGGACCTGCCCCTAAAACTTCAGCATGGCAGCAATCCCCACTTCTTACCCCGTACATCGGGACATATTCTAGCAAATAATTTCTATACAACAGCAAAAACATTCTGTGTCGTGCTTCAAACCACAGAAGAGGTTTCAAAAACAACGCTGGTGTTTAAGCGGGCAGAAACAGGCAGGGGAAGGGCAGGAAGCCAGCCCAGCCCCCGGGACTCTAGCTCTGCCCGGAGAAAGCAGAAGAGAAACCCGTCACTGAAAAATCGCACGTCGGGGCGGAAAAGCTGACAAAGCTTCGGGTTTCCTGACGAGCCAAGGAGCCGTGCGAGCATCCCGGCAAAGCCCGGCATCAACCCTCCTCCTGTGGCCGGCAGCCGCCTCTCCCGCATCTATCCATCCTCCCACTGGGAATAAACCAAATAATAATCTTATTTATCCCTCAAAAATGATACTGGGTGGGGATTTTCCAGCCAGCTTTGTGGCTTTGGAATAAATGTCAGCACAGCTGCTGCATGGCACCTGCCCCGGTGGGGACCTGAATTTGGGGGCTACCAGCTGTGAGATACAGGAACAGTAGAAATAAGCATCTCACTCGTGGGTCTCCCCTGAAAGCGGATGAAAAAGCTCTGGGGAAGTCACCGTTAAGGCATTGCTGCGCAGCAGGAGGATGAAACGACACAGCTGCTTGACCCATGCAAAAAAAGTTGCCCAAAATACCAACGTAGCTGAACCACCCCCCATCCTCCAGCGGCGCAAACCGGGATGCAGCCTTTGGTATCGCAGGGAGATTCGCCCCGTGGCATCGCGGCGATACGAAGGGGTGAAGCCAAGGGCCCAGTTCCCTCAAAGGGAACATGGGGGGCGAACTCCAGCCGAAAAAAAAGACTCATTTGGGGATGGAAGGCGAGCCCTGAAAGGCAGGTTCATCCCCCTGCACTGAGGAGCCCGGTTTCCTGTTTACTGCCCCGGCGCTGCCACCTTCGCCTCCGTCATCACATCCCCTTTTAAGCATGTGAGAAAAGGGGCAAATTCTTCCTTTTTTGGATCTCGAGAGTGCCAGGCTGTGGGTGGAAGGGAGTGGTGGCCACCCAGAGATCCCCAAACGGAGACCAGCTCCCCCCACCCTGATTTTCTGCCATAGCTTTAGCAAACAGCTGGAAGTCACCAAAACAAAAAGGCTGGCAACATGCAAATTGCCCAGTTGGTTGCTCAACCTTGGCAGCTCGGTGCTGTCTTCATTTCCCGGCACCCCCTGTGCCTCAGTTTCCCTACTCTGAGCCAATGTATTTCCTTCACACCCGGCGCAGACTGAGGTTTCACTGCTGTCTTGCAAAGCGCTTTTAAAAAAACATCAGATCAAATCAATTCCCCCTGCACACGTGGCAGGAGGATTTCAGCCCTCTCTGCCTTCCAACACGAGCTGTTGGCTGCTCCGGCAGTCACTTACAGGCCTGACGGACCCCAGACTTATTCCCTTCCTTAGAAAAAAACCTTCTCAAGACGCTTCCCTGCATGCCTACGGGCCCATCTGCCCTGCGGTGCAGAGGGAGCCTTGCCACGCTCGCAGCCTCTCGCATAGAGCAGGGATGAGTGCTCGCTTTTGCCGAGCTCCTGGGGAGATCCACAGATCAAATACAACAACAAAAAAATAGAAAAAAACAGAGAAAAACCCCAAAGGTCATGTTTTCAGCAAGAGAAGGATGGTCTTCCCTGCTCGTGCAAAGAAAGGAGCATTTTTAGGGTTTTTTTTTGCTTTCTCGGTCCCCTCCCACAGCATGCAGACGCTTCAGCAGCATCCCTGCCACCGCTTCGGCGTCATCCCCGCTCAGGCAGGAGACACAATTTGGGCGCAGCTGAGGCTTCCCCCCTGGCCGAGCGAGGGATTGTGGGAATATCCCACTCCCTGGGGAGGCCGTGATGCTCCCTCCTGTACAAATCCTGCCACTTCCCTGCAGCCCAGGGCGGCTTTTAACCAGCCCAGCGGCGCATCGATCCCAATGCAATTAGTAGCAAAGCATCATCTGGAGGCGACAATTCCTCCCTCGTAGGCAGCAGGAGCCTCTCAAAGCTGTTTTGCTCAGCGGTGGGATACGACTGAGTGCCCTCACCCCGTCCTGGCAGATCCTTGACTTGACCGATGGTGCTCGATGGACGGCTCCCACGAGCCGGTGCAGCGCTGGCTCCGGCCCAGGCGCTATTTTGGAGCCGGGATTTCTTCCGAGTGTCCGTCTGGCGTCCCTAAGCGCGAAGGTGCAGCAGCTCCATTGTTTTCTAGTGCCGCTATTGTTCGCCAGCCCAATTCCTCAGCCCTGGCCTGCAAAGGGAAAAGGAGGGGAGCAGTGAGCAATGGCAGAGCCACCGGCGGGCGATGCCATCAAGGTGCTGGCTCGCTTGGGGATAAGCGAGGGGACCCGTTGGCCACGCTCAGCAGGTCAGACCCCCGCTCGAGCAGAGCTGGTGGCCATCAACGCCTGGTTGGGGGCTCTGGGAAAGGAGCTGGTGGGTCTCCACCCCGGGTGCAATGGGGGTCACGGCGAAGGGGTCACGACGGGGCTGGTGACCTGTGGGTGCTCACAGGTCCCCTCCGGCCCGCGAGAGCAGCCGGCCCCAAAAGTGAGGGTGATGCCAAGGATGCTCATTGGGTGCGGAGGGGTCACCCCCGGGGTGTGGGGGCCGGTTCCCCCCCCCCCAGCTCTGCTCGCTGCGGCCGGGGCTCCGGGGTAGCTCCGGTTCAGCCCCGAGGCTGCTCCCCCGCCGCGCCCGGGGATGGATGGGGAGGGGGCTGGAGACCGGGATGCGGCTGAGGATGAGGATGGGGATGAGGATGGGGACAGCCCGTCCCGCCCGCACTCACCCGGTCCCGCTCCGCGCCGCTCCGCGCCGCAGCCGGCGCCCCCCGTAGGGCCGCCCCTCGGTGGGGCGTGGCGTGGGCGCGGCCTGGGCGTGGCTTGGGCGTGGCTGAGGCTACGCGCCGGGGTACCGGGGTTGGGATCCTGGGGGACACCCCTCTCCGGCACCCTGGATCACCCCGGCACCGGGATGCCAAGGGACAGCCCTTGGCGCCAGGACTGGGGATGCCAAAGGACGCCCTTCCCCGGGCACCCGGTTTGTGCGCGTGTCCCCCCCCCCGGGACTGGGATCCCAAAGGATGCTCCATCTCAAAGTCCTGGTTCAGGCTCTGGGACTGGGCTCCCAAAGGACACCCTGTTTCTGGCACCCAGGTTGCACCCCGGGACCAGGATCCCAAAGGATGCCCCATCCCACGCACTCGGGTTGGAAATGCTCTTAGGATCGGCTCCGGCTCCGGCTCCGTGTAGGACTCCCAGAGGGAGCTTTGCAGGCTGCATCACTCAGGGTAAAGTGGCTATTTCTACCTTAAAATGCCCCAAACCCTGTGATATTCAGTGCCAGAGCCATGCAGGCATCGCATGTCACCGTTCTGCCTTCGGGACGGTGCAATGGGTCCGTGCGCCGGCAGCAAGCAGTTCCCAACCATAGCCGTGGTATCGCATCTGGACCCAAAACCGCCCCCAAGAAGAGGATTGAAGAGGAAATAAATAAATAACACACACCCCCCCCAAACCGCCTGGAAGCAGATGTTGCAGTTTGGGGTCACGGTTACCTCCAAAACAGTGCTCAGCCTCCAGCCTCCGCTCCAGGGCTGCGGGTCCCATCCTGCCCATCCACCCCACGCCGCTGCAGGAGAGTTTGGGGGAGCGTGGAGGTATTAAGTATTCCAGAAGAGCAGTGGCATGCAGCCGCGTCCCTCCGCCTTTGTCTGCTCCTGACCTTTCCCAGTGCTTTGTGGCTTTGCCCGGCTTTTTTTTTTTTTTAGGAATTTGCCTAGAAACAGCCCACACGAAGGGAAAAAAAATCCCAAACCCAAACCAAAAACAAAGAAATAATCTGAACAGCTGGTTTAGCAAAACAAGCAAGTCTTTACAACCACAGATTGTAATTGGCCCTTTTTTTTTGTTCCTTTTTTTTTTTTTTATTTTTATGTAAAATATGAGAAGTTCAGGAGGAGCCATCTGGCTTGGGGAAACACTGACTCGGCGAAAGCGAGCCGGGATGGGGGTTAGTATTTATATTCCAGCAGCATCTTCGAGGGCTGGCGGAGATGAGAGGCCCTTTGTCACGGGAAGAGCCCGGCCGCCGCACAATGGAGCGGAGACGGCCCCGACTGCCCGTGCTGTGCAAACCCCAGCCCCAAGCCCCAGGGATTTAGCCCCAAAGAGAGAGAAAGCTTCTACCATATCCCGCAGGCCATGGGCTGGATGCCATCGGAACAAAAGGGGGGAAAAGAATAAAATAAAATAGAGGGGTTTGCTGTAGGGACCTGCGCGAGCACAAGGAGGAACTTGGTTGCAGGACTAGGGTTAAATCCTGATTTTGCAACATCCTGCTCATTGCCTTCAATGCACACGCAGTGCATCGGGAAGGATCGAACCTGGATGGAGACATTTATTTATCAAATAAAAGGAATTTGACCTACTCCTGCCATATAAGGACCCTGCAACCTGCGAGGCCAGGACAGGCTGCCAGCTCCTCCTTACCTGCCCAGCGGCTGTAAGCGCAAACCCAAGAGGAACGAAACCCACGTGGAAGGAGAGCAAAAAAACTGCCTGCCAGAGCCCGAGCATCTCCCCACTGCCAAAAATGTCCCAGGAAAAGGATGCTCCAAAGTCAGAGCCTGCATTTAGCCACACAGGGATGTTATGGCACCTGCTTTGCAGGTTAAATCAGCGTTTCTGTGCTAAATGCCACAGAGGGAACATGACTGATGCCGTCTAAACCATCAGCTTTGATGGATTTTCTTCTGTTTCCGCTCCCATAGCTGAGCCTGGAATTCAGGTACCTCAGTCAGACCCAAGCATAAGGCACCAGCTCCAAAATTCTCCAAAATTCAAGTATTTCCTCCAAGACTGAGCAAGCATCCAAACTCCCTTCATTCACACCCTGGCAGCTTCCCATTATTTCAACTTGAAGACCCCCAAGCTAATTGTAGTAAATACCAAGCAATATTACGCATTTGGATACACGTTAGCTTAGGAGCATCTGTTAGCCGTTACGCAGCCTCCAGGAACCAGATGGGAAGAGACGCGGCTCTTAAAAAGGCTTTGACTCGTACCTAGTAACGTGTTTCTTTGAAACACGGTCGCTGTCCCTGTTTGAGGATGTTTCAGTTGTTCTAAAAATCCTCAGGTTTTGAGATTCTGCCTGGGATAGAATGGGTTGATGCGGCTGTTGCCGAATTTCGATTTGGGCAAGACACAAGGAGAAAACACAATTATTTCCAGAGCTCTGACCCAGAAGCACAAAGGCTTAATCAGGATTAAGATCAGAGTGGTTTTCATCACAGACCCAAACCCAGCCCAGCTCAGGAACAATTAGAAATCCCTCGCTCTGGTCAAACAGCTGCTCCACTGGCTTCGATACCAGATCTACTTTCACCCTCTCTCACTGCCAATTTAGGTGGCTTTTTGCCATTTTTCCTCCCATCCAAGTACACCATTTTTGGACTAGTCGCAGTAGGCTATGCCTAAGTTAAGAAAGGCACTTGGGAGTCTTAATTCCCCTTAAAATCAAGAGTAGCTACCTTGAAGGCTGACAGATGTCTAAGGGTGCTGTGTATCCTCAGCCAGACATTTCCAGGTCCTAATTCATTGCAGGCAGCTACCGTGCATCACTAGTGCTCCAGGCTAACATTAAGAATTTAATATTACAGCTCCAGATAAAATAAATGAGTTCATTAAATGGTTGGGGATGAGGCAAGGTGCTAGTCAGCTTCTTTCTTTTTAAATGCTGGTGACGAGGCAAGGCGATTGATACTCAGCTCGTTTAGCTGTACACGCTGTCCAAGAGGAGGGACAGGACATCTCCAAATCCACCGTGCCCATGGATCGCTTCGGGCACGCAGCAGCCCTGACAAGGGGCCCAGGAGACTTCACTTTGGCTACAGATTACCAAAGGCAGGGCAAGAATCTAGAGAAATTCCCAATCCTACGGCTTTACCCTAAACCAGAGGGTTATTTCTCTGCTAGTAACTCTTGCTGCTCATATTCGTTACTGGACAGAATAACTCAAAGCCTCTGCTCAGTGTACTATGAGAATGTGAAAGTTTTTTTCATTTTCATCAGGAAATTAGTCACTTAAGTTTTGCTGCGTGGACATTGCTCAGAAACACATCAGTGCTGACCGTGCAAATTGGTTTTGCAGAGAGTTTTGCTGTTCCTTGGCTGCCCGAGAGGCTGGGAGCTGTGAGAAGAGAGGGGCACGGGGTGCGGAGGGGGGACAAGTCCCCAACACTGCTGCTGGCAGCTCCTCGGGAGGAGATCTCGGAGGTGCCTCAACCGAAAGCAGGGACAGACAGCAAATATGAGGTATGGAACGTAAGCAGTGCCTCTTCCAAATAAATCAAGGAATTTAACGCGTCTTCATGGTATGAGCTGTGGGCTGAGAGCTGGAAGGGTCAGGAAGACGGCTGGGGGTGGCACTTGCTACAAAGAGATGCTTGGTCTTTACATCACCTGAATTCCCAAACCGTCAATTTTGCTTCAAAGGGGATGTTTAAAAGGAAGTGTAACACCACGCTGCCAGGTTGCATCTATGCCCGCGTTTATTTATACTGAACAGCTTTAAAAATACAGAATAAAATAGCTTTATCTACTATTATTCACAACATCTGGTCCAAATATTACATTTTTAAATATTTAATTGTTTAATGAAGCAATGTTAGAAAAAATATGAAATAAAAAAAACTCCATAAAAGAATTACACATCTCAGAACAAACAAAAAAAAAACCCCAAAACAAAACAAAAAAACCTCTTGCTGTTTAACAAAAAAGTTTTACAGCCAAAGTCAGTCACAAAAAGTCATGGAAAAAAAAAATATTTATCCCCACTGCCTAAGAACAGTCAATAGTTTGTTACGCCAAAGGTTGTTATAAACAGACAAAGTACAATAATTTGGACTGGCAGCAAGATGATTTACCTGGAAAGATGTAGTAAATGCCAGATAGTACACAAGGCAATTCTAAATATCTCTCATATCAATATGTACGGATGACAATGCACAGTCACAGTCAAATTAGAACTAGACAGGAATATTTTGGATGGCTCTGAACACGGATCCCCAATACTTAAAAGCAGCCCAGCACTAAGCTGTATAGACTCATGGGCAGAAGCGAAACACTGGCAAACTCGTGGCCTCCTCCAATACTGCAATGACCTATCGCAGCTAGATAAACATGAGAGCAGAGTACCTGTCATCCCATGGCCACAAAGGCCATTCGCCTTAAGAAATACTAAGGAACATGCACCAAGTGGGACGTTTTCTGCAAAAATGAGTGACCCACCACTCCCCCACCCCCCTTAAACAAAAAAAAAAAAAAAAAAAAAAAAGAAAAAAAGTCGCTTTTGGTTTAAGAAGGCCACGTGAAAAGAAACACTGTAGGTTGTGCTGGTCTGTCACACATGCATTTTCTACATTGATATACAAATTATGTTAAGCACAGGTTGTTTTAGATTGCGTGTAAGCATCCAACGGTTCATTCAAACCATTAGAAGCTAGCTATTTTAAACTACATGTGCCTGGAGTGCTGTTTACACCACAAATGAAGTGATTTTCAACACTTTTTATTAAGGATGCAATGCTATAAATGACTGGTTGCACTCACTGATGCTCCTTGTGGTATAAATAGTACTGAGGATTTCAGTTTGCAAGTGCCAATTCTGCATCGGGAGTACCAAGATCTCAGTAGGGAGATGAACAATAAAGAAACCCTTTAGTTTTTGGTAGGAACATAAACATGGGTAAATAAAGTATACACAACTACTATAGATTCGTCAATGAAGAAATTCTACCATCACATGACATTGTCATGACAATCATACCA